CATCGATGACGACGGCGAGAGGGTACTTACCGTACGTCCTTTTACTCTATCCAAACCCCCATTTCACCTATTATGAAAGGGCATGTGGCGTAACACGGGTCTCTTAATACGTCATACCATTACCACCTGTATCTTTTTACTTAAAAAAAAAATTCATGTCGAGTCTTGTTTGAAAGCCCGGATGAGCAGAACTGATCTGAAAGGCCGGGTGCAACCAGACAGGAAAGACCACGATCCTATCCCAATGGCAGTTATGACCCTGACATGTTGACAGACGTCCCTGTTCTACGTAATAAATAAATCCATGCCCGAGCCTCATGTTTTGCCAGTTAAAAGTGTCAAAAATCCTTTTTTTTGTTCATGACTGCCCCCGATTTCTTTCAATATACAAGGGATCTAGCTCGATACTTCAGAGGCCGGTTGCGGTCTTTACATAGCCCAAGCGTTCCTCGTCCTGCTCCACCACCATGGTTGGAGCCGGAGGCCCAAGCATCTGTTGAAAGGGTAATTAACATGCTTGAAGAAGCATTCAAATCTTCATGTATGTCTCACTTCTAGCTGGCCGATCTTCACTAAGTTTTGGACAGATACGACTACTTGGGACGTCCAGGACTATGCTGCTGACTTGTCACCGAGACAGAGTGGAAGCAATGAGGAGTTGGAGAAGAAACTCTTGGCACGATTCCCACCGATCTACGAAACAGCCGGGTCCGATATCCCCTACCTCGATCAACCGTGCCATATAACCGACCGGCAGGGTCACATTTTACTTTGGTACTTTCCTGAAATGTTCTCAGAACAGCTTCGGGTAATTACTTTCACTTCATTACACCCTTAGACTTTCCTCACTTTACTAGACATTTATTTGGGATCACACAGGTTCTTTGAGCCCCAAAAAGAGAAGTAATGGGAGTTGGCGGGATCACCACCCCGAGAATGAAGGGGTCACTGGGATTGTAAATTTATCACCCAGCTGGTTTTCTCAAGGACATGAAGGTCCCGAGGATCCACTGCGCGCGTCAGCCGATATTCAGGAACCTGCCAATTCAACCTACCTCCAGAATGTCCTATTGGCCAATGCAATTGTTGGAGCAATCTATGCTGTCATACAACCCGATCTTTTTGAGTCCGGTTTAGCCACCTTCGAGAAGCTTGCCAATCATGCCGAGGCATTGGACGATCCTATCAATATTGCTCTTCGCGTTTGGGCCACTCCCTTCACCGGTCTTTCAGTCATCCTGAACCGAGAGACGATCGATCACCGAGATCTAAAGGGTTATAGGGAGTCTTTTGACTTGTTGCTCACCATCGGAAACTACACAGGAGGCCGGTGTCACTTAGCCGGGCTCGGGTTTAGCCTTGTTTATGACCCTTGGACGGTTGTTGCCTTGGCCGGCAATGTTTTACAACATGGTGTTTGTCCTGTGCTGGGTGACCGGGCCTGTTTAGCTCACTTTTGGCACAAAAAGGTTGGGGAAAGGCTTGGGGTGAAGAGGCCTCAGTGGTTGACCATGGCAGACTTGATATATAATTTGTCTGGTAACTAATAAATAATGAATTACAAATCCGACCCAAACTTGCTCGGCCTCAGCACCAATATGTTCAAGGAGACGGGGGGCTTGACGAACCCGATGCCGGGCTTTCTCCACCTGGGTTTCTATGTGCTGAAAACGGTTCTTGTGATACCTCATTAGGTCAATAAGAGCAGACTGCTGTACAATTTCCTCCCAAACCGAAATCTCATTGGTGACCCACTCTTCCTCGGCCTCAGCACGCTTGATACGTTCAAGGAGACGATCCCGAGCATTCTCCAACTGGGTCTTGATGTGCTGAACTTCGGCCGGTGTCAGCGTGGAGGTGTCAGTGTCCGGGTACTTGATTGGCAAACCACCCTTTGCCATCCATCTGAACCAATTGTATGACCTTTTCAGAAGTTGGTCGACGCCCCCTGGTGGAAAGGTGATGCGAGTATTCCACCATGCAAACTCGTATGCAGGCCGGATACGGTCATCCATGAAGGCTTCCTGAGGGTGCAGTGGGTTACCCTGGAGACAGGACTTCAAAAAGGGAGGGACGATAAACTGGCAGGAAGGTGAGCTCAAAGAGAAAAAATCTGGGGCAAAGTTTTACTTTATGCCCATAGGCGCATGCCATGCCGAGAGTCGCTATAATGAAACCCTAACCAAAGGAATGAGTTTAGCCGGGCGCGGCAAAATAAAGCTCACCTGTTCGGCCGACATGTACTCCAACCAACAATTCTTGAACTCGGGGTCAATGGGGTTTTCGAGCTTCGATGTCAAAATGGCTCTGAATCGAGAGGACCAGTAGCAGAGTACCTCCTGGAACTCTTGCTCGTCCTTCCAGAGGAGATTAGCCACTACAGAAGAATCTCTGGTAAAAGCTGGAGGCCGTATCTTCAGCACCTCGTCAACCCATTGCTCTGCTCGGCGGGGGTCAAATGACAGGTGTTCTTTTGCATACATGGTGGACAATGAGAAAGAATAGTTTGATTCAACTAGGATTAGGTAATGCAATGGCCTCGCACATGACCCCGGCATTTATAAATTCTTTGGTGGCCTGGAAGGCCAGTTCTTTCCACATACTGATTTGCCCCTCGGCAAAGCATACATGTCCCGGCTTGTCTGGCACCAAGTCCCTCAGCCCAGCCCACTCCCTTGCTTTGTTGATGAAATAGAGGCGGGTCCAGTTCATTTCGTTTGGGATCAAGGTATGCTCTTCTGACCACCGGTCATATCGAGCTTTTGCTCTGAGCCAATTCACCCGATATACTTTGATTTGTCTGGTTTCAATTCATGTAGAGTAATAAAAGTGACTGGATCTGACCTTGTTCCATGTATGTTGAACCCGACGAATCATCAGCCACAGCCATATTCCAGAACCATGGCAGAGCAATATTTCTTTGACCCCGGGCGTTGCCATCGTATACCGTAGTTAGTGCCCTTGTATCTTTTTTCCCTATCGGCTTGTATCGGTCACAAGTGCCCTGAGGAGCATTGAGCTGATTAAGAGCCCATCGAGCTTGGTTGTATGCCCGGAGAGCACTTTTCATATCGCGATCCGATCCTTGTACAGCATCGTAAGCCCGAGTTACACGTTTTTTCGATTTCTCGGCTCGAATTCTCTTCCGATAAAGGAATGACTTGTAACCGATGGCTTCCCATAAACGCTTCAGAGCGTTATTTGCCTGGGCCACTCTCAATTCTATCTCTACGCACCGGGCTTCTCCCAGTGATGTAGGGAGGAGGGCTGCTTGAAATGAGGATGGTAAGAGGATTTGTTGATGTTCGGCCGATCCATATCCCTGATCAGGCAAACTGGGTATGCTCGGTGCTGGGGTTTCCTCTTCATCACAATCGCTCCAGTCATCGTCATCCACAATATCCTCCGAGAGCGGTGGATCATGAATAGTTCCTTCGTTAATTTCCAAGTTGGGAAAATGGCCTTGACCAGCCTCGGAAAACTCTTCAAGTCGCTTGGACAGCTTCTCTCGACGTTTCATTATCTCCAGCTTCTGATCGGCACTTGGACGACTGCCTTGAGCCTTCACAAAGGCAGCCAATTCGGCTCTGGATTGTTCAATGTTTGAATCTAGCAATATTTGACTTTACTCACTGGGCTTCCTGAATTTTGATACCGGTGTTTACCCATCCAGTTAACCCCGGCTTGACCTTGCCTGCCTGTTCTTTAGTCATAAGTTTTAGCCGAATGCCCTTTTCGGTCTCGGCTGATTGAATGATTTTACAGCTGGC